ATATATGATATTTTTATGCAAACAAATTCAACTTGTTCTGCCAATCCGACCCACAACATTTTTTTCAACAAGCATTGAGCTCGCATTGTCAAGAAAGCTATATCATAACGTAGAAAGTTCGAGTTTGATGTATTGAAATTTGTCCGAATACGATCTGTTTCATATGTGTTTATATATATATTTATCAATATAAATACAAATATATTAATTTTATTAATGATAAAATCAGATATGATCGGATAAATTGTAAATCCGTATGAAGAATTAGAAAAGAAAAATTAAAACTCCACTCTTCAAATTTGGGTACATTCGAGTTTATTATAAGTAAGTTGGGTTCAAGTTTGGTGAAACTCATTGAAGTATTATTAGCCTAGTTACCATCCCTAACTAACCGGTAATTATATTTTAGTAAGTATTTAATTTAATTTTCTTATTAATTGTTCAAATGTTTTAAAGTTTATGTTGATCAACCGAATATTTAAAATACTTTTCCATAAATACAACTTATAATAAGTTTGTATTATTCACGTACCTTAGCTACTTAAGTGTGAGATACATATAATAATATTTAACGTACATGGTAAACAGTTTATAACATTTTAACATTTTATATAAAATTTTTATATACTAAATTAAGTTAAACATTATATTAATTAAGAAAAATACTACTATATATGATAAAATATGTATATAGCATAGTACATGTTACTAATAGTATAACATCATCACATCTAATTGTATAATTGAGAGATAAAAACATTATAACTTTTATATATACACGTAACTAAATGCAATAACATTTATCTGAATAAATTAGGTGGATAACATTTTTTTAATTGCACTAAACCAGCTAATTTTGCTTAACTACTCAATTAATTTCATATTTATATCAACAATAATAAATGCGTAACTCGTGACATTATTAACTAAATTTGAATTAATTAAAAATAATATTTATTGTAATATTTAATTAAACACGAAATTTGTGATCTTTTGCTTTAAATAAAAAATAACAAAAATATTTGCATGATGATTAATTATAATATTTGAATTTTTTAATTCACATAGATAAACAATTATTATAATAACTTCAAAAGTATATAGTTTACAATTCATATCATTTTGTTTTTACTATTCGACATCTCATATTATTTAAATATTAATATTTTATTATTAAATAATTAGTACTTACTATCATGACACCTAATGTATATAAATTATTTAAGTCCACCGATAATTTAAGGCTATTTTAAAATAAATCTATAAATTTCATAAAATTTATTTACAAATCACCCTTAATTAAATTATGGTAATATTTTATAAAAGAACAAAAGTAGTCCATAAGAAATTTTATGTAAAATATACAATTATATTAAAATTTATGTATATTATTTTGATTTCATATAAAATTTTGTACTATAAAAAAATAATTTATTTTAAATATATTTTTATGTATATTTTTATAATAGAAATAAATATAAATTTACACGAAATTTATATTTAATGTAATAATAGCTAATTTTGGCCAAGTTGTCCCAACATAGCAAAATCATTTGAAGTTTTTGAGGGCTTGGAGTTGGCATTAGAAGAAAAAAATTAGAAAATTAATAATCAATGTCTTGGACTTTATGTATATTAAAAATCTCATTAAATATATAGTAGGTTAATCTATTCTTATAATATTTTTAAAATATTTTAAATAAAATAACTCATTCACGTGAATTAAGAAATCTAAATATCCCATGTTCGCATAAAATTTAACACTTGATCATACTATTTAACAAATTCGGCCCTTAATTACCTTATTGCCAAGTACATTATAAACGTACCTTTAGAAATTTTGCACTGTAATTCTATTTTAATATTTGTAATAATGGTTGATCCGAATTGGCTAACCAATAGATGTATTATTATTATTATTATTTTTTAATCTAAAAAAATCAGATTACAAAATAATGCAATCTTAATAATTAGATCTTCAAATATTGCAGCTAAATACTCAATAAAGAAAAAAAAGGTAAAGAGATAAGATATATAAGACAAGATAATTTGACGAACAACTTCTTAAATATTATTATGCCTCAAACGTGTTTTTATAAAATTTTAAATATTTTATTGTTTTAAATTATTTTTAATATTCATTCGCTTAACAAAATTACTAATTTTGATATATCAGCGTGTCATATAATTATAGTAAATTTTTTTTATAAAAACTACTGAAAAATTATGACTTTATAAGCGTTGAAAATCGGAAAAATAAAGTACATATAGGTATGATTTTTTTTTTTTTTAATGTGTTTAAATATTGCAACATAGAGTTTACTATGAATGGTCACATTGACAAGAATTTTCTTTTAAATGATAATTTGACATGTCAGAAAAATGAAAGATAAGATCTATATTATATGGAGAACTTATTTAGTATAATTTCAGAATTTATATTTACAGAAAAATAGTTTAGCTATTATTATAATTATTACTATCACAAAATTTTTATTTTTATGAAAGGATGAATGGGCTCTTTTCGAGCCCATTAAAAGGGTTTTTGGGCCTTAAGATTTAGTGGGCTGCCAATATTTTAAATTATCTAATTGGGCTTGGACTACCCACTCCATTTACTGCTACATTAATTATTATTATTTTTTAATATAAAAGGGAATAAATTACTCTCACACATCTTACCTATGCGCCAGTCGTATTATTATTATTATTATTATTATTAATTTAGATATATTCGAATCCCTTCGATTTCCAATAAATACACACTTACATATATTATATTATATTAAAATTACTATTTTGCCTCTCCTTGTGCCTAATTTTATAATTATCACCCATAAAAATAATCCTTTTTTTTTTTTTTGGTTTTTTTTTATATATCAACGACCTCATAATAATACCAATAATAATATTAATAATATTGCCTAACCAATCGCATGATGAGAAAGCTGAAAATCAACCCTAACCCTAAAAACAGGTGAAGAAAAGGAAAAAGAAAAAAAAATGCCCTAAACCCCGTAAAAACACGAATTGTAAAATGTAAAATCTTCGCCCTTAAATTATTTATAATTTTATTTTACGATATTACCCTTTTATGTAATCCCTAATTTACCCCTCCGTTATTTACTTAATTTCGAAATTTGCCACTTCCACACACGCTTAATTCGACTAATCTTAAAAAATAGACTAAAACCGTGCCCTAATTGTGCCCTAAATAGGCACGCAGAGGACTGTGCTGACCGTCTATAACCTGTAACTAACCCAATGCAACCGGCTATCAGCCGTCCCAAAATGACCGTCTCCGCGCCCCTGTTCTCCTTCTCTCTTTTATTTTTGCCTCTCGCCTTAAGAGTGTTTTTTCTTTTTTAATATTTATATCTCAATATATATCACGTTCTAAACTTTCGGTCTCTTTTTTCTCTTCAACATTGCGTTCCTCTGCCTCTGTTTCTTCTCCACAGAGAAGAAGAGTTTAATTTTCAATTATTCCCTCCATTCAAACGATTTCTCTAATCCACCTAGTCCTCCGAAACACATCTCAACAGAACTCTGTTTAGCTGTTTCCAGTTCTGAAAATCAAAGCTTGTTTTTTGAAGACTTGTTTTTTATTTTTTATTTTTTTGGGTGCGTGTGCTCAAATTCGGCGACTAACGATCTTTTATCTTATTTATAATTTTCGCTTTTGGGTATTTCAATTTTGCTTTGGAATTCGCTGAGGTACCTTTATATCTAAGTAATGTGAATTACTTGAAAATTTTCTTGGTCCATATTGGAGGGTGATCCGTTGAGAGGTAAGGATTAAATTCTTTACTTGGTTTTTTCTTGTTATGGGATTATATGAAGTTTCTCTTTGTTAGATCTGCTTTAGGTTTCTAGGTTTTGTTTAAATGAGTGAGTTTTGAACTTTCGATTGTATGATTTTCTGGTGATTATCAGAGTTCGAAGCATGATTTGTTGTTAAAGAAAACAAAAGAGTTCGGTTGAGAGATGAAGAGGTCTAGAGACGAGGTTTACATGGGCGCTCAACTTAAAAGACCTGTGGTTTCTTCTCGAGGAGAAACGTAAGCTTATCTGTTGTTTTTTATCTTCAATTTTGTTTTACTTTTTGGTATGTATTTGGTTATTTAAGTTCATATTATTAACAATGAGAGTGAAGTCTCCGATAATCTTGTTCTTTCTTTCTTCCCAATTTTCCTGGGGCTGCGTTTATTCGTGAAGCGTTTTTCTTGATTTGTGGGTGGGGTTCATATTTTGATCTTCCTCATGTTTACTTCCTTGGCCGAGCTATGCATAAGCCTATTTGGTTTCTTGTTTATGCGTGTTGATTCGCTGAAATTTTTTTCCTCTCAATATTTGACCTTTTAAGAAAGATCGGGTACCCCGATCTTTCTTGCAAGTTTCTGTTGCAAAATTCTGCTGGGAGTTTCTATTTTATGTGGATAGAGAAAGAGACACAGCTAAATGCACCATTCCTTCTTCTTTACGCGATTAGTTACTCATATCTTGTTGGTGGAAAATTAATCTCTTTAGATAGGGATTTAATTTTACTTGAAGATAGTCTAGGCATTGATGTATTAGAAGTGTGTTTGAATCCCATAACATGTTAAATTGATTTGAGATACATTTTTGGGCAATGAAGCTCTGGGCAACCTCAAATTATAGGAGGAGGAGGTGGTGGTGGCGCCCAAAAGCTAACCACAAACGACGCTCTAGCATATCTCAAGGCTGTGAAGGACATATTTCAAGACAAAAGAGAAAAATATGATGATTT